ACCTCCCAGTCACACCTGTCTGCATCTTCACCCAGCCAACAAATGGTTTCTGAGCACCTATTATGTGCCAGGAACTTCTAGGTGGTAGGAATACTGGGCTTTCTTTTCTTTTAAGAAGGTCACAGTCTAGTGAAAGAGAAAACCAAAAACTCAATAACCACAATAGGATGTACTGGAGAGGCATGCACAGATCACAGATGTTATGTGCAGTGTCGGGGTGTGGCTTCAGGAAATAGCCAATCTACAGAGACCTGGCTAATGACAACCAACCCAAACTCAGCTTCTGGCTGGACAACACTCACACTGAGAGAACCAATGGAAGAAATGCAATGAAGTGGGAACAGAGGTGTATTCAAGGTGGGAGGAAGGGGCCTGGGTTTGCTTTAGTAACTTGGGTTTAGGCCTTTGGCCCCACCTGCTCAGATGGGTGCTCTGCATTGTCAGGGTATGTACATGGTCTTGGGTTGGAAGGTGATAACCTGCTCAGTCCTTTCACTTACTCCTTGGGTGGACATTTTGCCTCTCTTTCAAGCTCTATTGACTCCAGAATCATCATAGTTTCTGCTGTTGTTGCGTGCCTGTTTCCTCTGTACTCACTTTTTTTTTTCCCCTCTTTCAGGTTTGCATTGATCCCTCTTAAAATGTGGAGCCCACAAATGAATGTAAGAAGCAGATATAATATGATCAGTACAGAGTACAGTAAAACTGTCATCTCCCTATTTTCTGTTTCACATTTCCAATCATGCAACCAAAGAAAGAATTTGCTTTTTTGGTAGCCATATCACACCACTGAGTCCCATGGAGCTTACCATCGGCTCACACCCTAAGGGTTTTTTCTATTTATGCTGCTGTGAAATTGCATCTTCCCCCACTCTACATTTGTGTAGAACCTGACCAGTGGCTGAAGGACTAGCATGCGTACTTCCCAATTCTGAGGCCTGACCAAGAAATGTCTCAGGGTAAGGTTCTCCCAGCTCCTCAATACATGGAACAAAGCTGTAAACCTGGATCAGAAGAAGGCTGGTGATGAAGATCCATTCTATAGGCAGCCCACTGGGCACTCCCCTTATGGTCGTGGACCCTGATGTCCATAGCAGCTTCCTGGGAACACACCGTTTCCCTGCATCGCACTGTCCTTACTGTTTCACCCCCAAGAGTCCAACACACTCCAAATGTTGTGCAGTGGAATCCAGGAATCTTCTCTTTTGGTGTTCCTCCCCTAAAGAAACAACCTCGGTTGATTCAACAGACCTTTATCAAAGACCTCAGGTACGGTGCTAGGCATGGAGGAAAAGTTGCAAAGTTAGATGAGCTTATAACCAGAATTTAGTCAAAGAGACCCATAGCTAACACTAATGCTAACCATGTGTTAGAACACTCTGAAGAACTCCAGATCTTTTACTTTTTCCTCAAAAACAGAAGATGTGGCAGTTAGATATGGGGCTGGAAATTTGAGCAGAGAGAATGGCAGAGTCTTTTCAGTACCCAGAGATGCATGTGAGGACCAAGGACTTCTCACAGTAGAGGAACTCTGGCTGGGGTAGTTGAGGGGGAGGAGAAATGAGGAGCAAGGGGGCATACAGGGCACAAAAACAAAAGGTGAGACCCGAGATCAGCCCAAGTGCGTAAACCACGGTTACCATGGCTACTCCTCAGTGGAGATGGGAGGAAGCCCAGTACCTGCCCCTCCAACCACCCTACTCCCCTCCATGCCCCTTCTTCTGCACCCCAGACACACTCAGGTAAGCACAGCACCACCCTGGATGACCCTGGGGAATGCCTCTCAGAGACATGGAGCTAGAAACCTAGGGGAAGCGGGACATCAAGCCTTTTGCCTCACAAGCTGACTTTGGAACAAAGATCCAGGCTGAGGGGCTGGGAGAAGAAGCTTCCAGCAGAGCCACCCAGATATGCTTTCCCCCCCAACCCCGACCTTCCACACCAATAAGTGTCCAGCTAGTCCACAAAGCAGCCTCCTCGGCTGCAGTGACTGTGGTTGAAGGGAAGAAAAAGAACGTTATAATAATCTAGGGCAGATGGTCTTTCTTTACTGTATTAAATGGATATGGGATCAATACATCTATAGGTTTATTACAGTTTTCTGAATAAATTTAGAAGTCAAAGATGAGCCCTGGAGGGGACAGAAACTGACCAGCAGGGCTATTGATTCTCGTCTGCCCTAGGTACTCCTCCTTACCCTCCTCTCCCCTATATTTTGGGGCAGTCATATTCCTCAGCAGTTAGTCGCTCTGCCTCTAGTCCTAGCTGGCTTCTGAAAAACAGTTCTGCTCCTTTCATTCCCTGCCTCAAGACTTCCAAGCTTCCCGGCCTCTGAATGAGGTTCTGAGGCCTGTCACAAGATGGCTCCGCTCTCCCAGCCCCGGCACCCCAGGCTGCTCTGAAGGTGTGAGCGCTCCTTCTTCAAGGTTTGAATGTACAGGGGTCATTCTCACCCTCAGCCCACCTTGATGTTTTCAGATTCAGTTCCAACACCTCACTCTCTCTGTAGAGCCTTCCCTGAATCTCACAGACAAATGCCGCAGCTCCCCTTTTGCTTTGGCCTATGTTTATGCCTCTTCTTGCTGGGAGCTGCTAGAGGGTAAACACAGCCTCTCACTCACATGGCACAGAGTCGATGCTCATGGAATGATGCGCGAGGCAGAGAGTGAGTGAGTGAGAATGAATGAATGAATGAACGAATGAATGAATGACTCTTCTTGCTGGGAGCTGCTAGAGGGTAAACGCAGCCTCTCACTCACATGGCACAGAGTCGATGCTCATGAAATGATGCGCGAGGCAGAGAGTGAGTGAGTGAGAATGAATGAATGAATGAACGAATGAATGAATGACTCTTCTTGCTGGGAGCTGCTAGAGGGTAAACGCAACCTCTCACTCACATGGCACAGAGTCGATGCTCATGGAATGATGCGCGAGGCAGAGAGTGAGTGAGTGAGAATGAATGAATGAATGAACGAATGAATGAATGATATGCTGGAAGGAAGGGAGAGAGGGAGCGGGAAGGGAGAGAAGGGGGCCCAGAATCTTCAGCACACATTGTGGGTGCATCACTGCGGCCAGGAACAATTCGCTTCTCTGTCTGCATTACTTTTTGGGACATGGGAGAACTGAGGCTCAGTGTAGGCAAACTGGGTCCAGTCGGCCGGAAAACCATGGGCTCCGCTGTTTAGGGGAGGAGTCGCGTGCTTAAGGAAGCTATCCCGTGGAAGATGTCCCTGCCTCTTCCTATTGCTCTGTATTGGTTTTTCTCCTTCCCCAGTGGATCCTTTTCTTCTCCCAGGAAGAATCCAGAATAGTTCAGACAAGCGTCCGATCCTCCAGAACCGGGGAAAGAAACATGTAGTGTTTGTTATAAAGGGCTTTTCAATGGGGTCTGGGAGATCCAGTTAGATTAGAATCCTGACTCTGCACTGGCTGTGTGAACTTGGGACAGAAATTCACCTTTCCAAACCTCTGTTCCCCAGTCTATGCGGTAGGAAGTTTAGATTCGCTGATTTCTAGGGAGATTTTGAGCAGACACGATTCAGTTCCACGAAGGGCTGTGGGACAGGACTGCACTAAGAGGTCCTCTGGAGTGGATTCTCCAGTTCCCCTCCTTCCGCTGGAGAACAGAGGAATCTGCTTTCGCTGCACACCAGATTTGCCTGGAGAACAAATGGAAGGCAGGCCAGGATCCTGGGCGAAATGTGCTGCATTTGAGGAGACTTCAACTTCCCCTGCCCTCCAGGTGTGCACTGGACCGGGGAATGAGGGGGAAGCCGGCAAGGTGGGAGGAGAGATGGGGGAGGGGCAGGAGGCGGAGCGCGAAGGAGGTAAAATCATCAAGTGTGTAGACCGTCCTCTTTAAAGTTGCTAATGAGCTTGCCGTCCCCTTCCTTAACTTCCCCCCTACACAGTGTGGTCTTTTCCCCACCCCCAGACATGAAAGGGAAGCAGGTCACAAAGCCTTTCGGATTATAAAAGAAACACTTGCTTCTCACAAGGAGAGCAGCAGACACTCTCTGTACTAAATGTCAGGATAAGCCACCGGCTGGGCCTCGGCTCTGACCCTCCGGCCTCTTTCTACTGCGCTGTCTGGATGGACTGGCCGATCTCTGCGGGATTCCCGAAGTGCATTGTGTAGAGATAGCAACTCAGGTCAGGCTAAAAGCTCAAAGGATGCGCGTGCGCGCACACACACAGCACAACTTCCTTGGGACAAAATAAAATCTGAGCATTCCCCTCTCCTCCTTTAGGTCTCTGGGAAGCCGAAGTCTTCAGGTGCAAGGCTCAGATAACCCGCAGTGTCTCTCCAACTCTGGGATGACCGAGACCTCACTTCTTCCCTTTTCTCATTGTGTTTACAGAACAAGAGAAAGTAAGAGTAGCCTGCAGAAAGACCTCTCCATTCATGGCCCCCCAGGGGTGTGGGTTCTGAGAGGAGGGGCCAGCTGCCAGGCCCTTTCTCCATTGGTTGAGCTCAGCAGGTAACCTGAAGCTTTGCTGAGAGGTGCATAAATAAAGACTGAAACTAGTACCACCTCCTCGAAATGGGCCGAGTCCCTCCTGCTCACCCTTGACTTGGAAAAACCAGTTTCTCTTTTATTGTCTGTTACTAATCTCTATTCTAAAAATTCAGCTCAATTCTCAACCACACTCCAAACTCTCTCCTTTCCAGCTACCTTTACTCCCTCTCCTTCAATTTCACTTTCCTCCGCTTTTATTTATTTGTTTTTTTAAAGTATCTCACTTTGTCACCCAGGCCGGAGTGCAGTGGTGCAATCTTCGGCTCACTGCAGCCTCAACCTCCCAGGTTCAAGCGATTCTCCTGCCTCAGTCCCTCAAGTAGCAGGGACTACAGGTGCACGTCATCACACTTGTCTAATTTTTTGTATTTTTTTTTTTGCAGAGACGGGGTTTCACCATGTTGCCCAAGCTGGTTTTGAACTCCTGAGCTTAAGGAATCCACCCACCTTGGCCTCCCAAAATGTTGGGGTTACAGGAATGAGCTATCGCATCCGGCCTCGTGTTCTTTTTTATTAAAGATAGAAATCAACTATTCAGGATCAGTCCCCACCTTTCCTCAAGAGCCATTTCTGTTCTGCACAGGCCTGCTGAACTGGGTGCTTTACATAGGGTAAGTGTTTCCCATTTTTTGTTCTCTGTCCTCAAGCTTTAGGGGCAAAAGAAACATCCGAGACTTGAAATTTCTTCTTCTCCTATGCATGGCTCTAGCCATCTCTTTGTTCTGCATTATCTTATGAAAAAAAAAGATTTATTATTTTGAATCAAACTCAAAGCTGGGTCCTGATATCTGAAGGCACAGGCACTCATACTTAAAGGTGAGTCTGAAATCTCTGGATTTGGGGAGCATTGGAAAAACAAAGCTGAGTGGCTAGATCAGGGGACTCATTGAGATGAAAATGGCATTTTACTGCCGGCCAGTTCTCAACTTCCTCCAAGACTGGAGGAGCTGAACCTGCGACATTTTAAACCAATCCCCAGTCGCTGCTGTGTTTTTTCAAGGATTTCCAGGGATCCCAGGCAGTAAATCTTGCTGATAAAGGGAATCGGTGTGATAAGGTGGGTGGTGAGCAGTTTAAGCACCAAGATTGCAGCTCTGTCTGGTTTTGTGGAGATTTACTCAACTAGATGGACAGAGATTCAGCTGGTTTTTCAGTCCTGGGGTGCAGCGTGCAGCTGTACTGGAAAACTTAGGATCTAGTTTCATTCTTTGAGTCTCATGTTAAATTTGGCTTTAAGGTTATGAAGACACTTGAGACATAATCCTGGGGGCAGCTGGGGGGCAGAGAGTGGTCACTGGATAAACTTATCCTATAGCAAGCCCATGCATGGTTTATTCTCTGATTGTGCATGTGCTTGGCTATAGATCCATGTAACCACGGTGAAGGCCAGGGGGGCCGGGGGGATGATTCAGCTGGCGAAGGCATCATGGGCAGAAGAATCTTGAACCCGGAATCCAGAGCAGGTCAAGTCTCCTGATACAGGTTCTGACTTGTGTTTTTTTGTCTCTGCCTGTAGCAGCTACAGGTCTGTATAGTAAGAGGAGAGTGATAAGGGGAGAACTCACCTTTTTGGGGCTCTCTGACATTAATGCCACCTCCCATTTGCCTTCTGCAGACATGGTCATCTCTCAAGTATCCATCTTGGAGGGTATGGACCCCATATGACAGTGAGGCTCTCTGCACACTCCAGAGTGAGGACATGAAGAATCTAGTGGATGGTACTGGAAGGGTAAAAGCGGGGTGCCAAAGGTCTAGAGGGAGAAGAATTGACTGACCCTTTTGCTCTCGGAGTTAAGCAGAAATCTAAAGGGAAGGCAAAGAGCCTTGCCTTCCCGGCATTATTGCCTCCCACCATCCCGGGCCATCATTTATTTATCACAGCCAACAGGCTGGCCTCTTTCTTCCCTTTGACTGTGAATGGGTCACAGGCAGTGCAGGAGGAGTATCTAGTCCAGATAATTCACAAGCAGTTCTCACAGTTCTTGCTATTGAGAACCATGAGTGTTTATTAAGAAGGCAGAACTGGAGAAGATGAACCAATCTTCTTCCCCTCAATACCCAGATCCCTGCCTCCTAAGGAGCTCTGTGTTCACCCTGTCAAAGAGTCTTTACATTCAGACCAAGGAGAGTGTGGCCCCTCCTCAGCACTAAGTTAGAAACCTCAAGCCCTTGCTCGAGGGCATTCTTCAGAGAGACCCAATGCCCAGAGGGCTAGGTGCAGGGTGGGGAGGCGGGGAGGAGCTGCATATGAGATACTGCCTCCCTGCATCGGGTCAGAACAAGCCCCAGGAAGAAACGATTCCAAACAACAAGGTGTATCTGCCCCAACCCACCCAGTCTGCATGTCGGTGCTGAGAACAGCCTTTTATGGGGCTTGCATTGAGCCACGGGCATGTCTGAACACAACAAGCAAGAGGCCAGAGCAGCAACTGCACAGCAACGGGCTGATGGGCATTCCTTTTCAGAGAGGGCAGAAAACTATCTGACGCAGTCTATGGAAGCCAGGTTAGCTTTCCTCCTTCCTCCCTAAATCCTCCATCCTCATGCCCAACCAAGGAATAGTTGAATCATTTTCCAGGCACATCTGGGGGAGGATGTGGGGCCATTGGAGGCTGGCCTTCCTAGATAAGTCTTTAGGAGTGAGAACAAGGAGTCTTACCCTCCTCTGTCCACCCACCCCATGAATGGGCCTGGCTCCTGCCAGGAGTTGTAGTTTTTCGTGAGTGCCTCACCTACCTCTTCTGGATTTCACACTGGCAAACGGGGCAGCAAAGTGCTCTTCCTGCTCTCTGAACAATGCCTTGTGGAGAGGAATGCGCATGCCCCTGCATTCCACGGCCTTGGTAAGCAAGATCAGAGTAGCTGGGTTTTTCTAAAGCAATTGCAGAACACCTGCCTTCTCTCTGTTTCCTCTAGAAAGGGCCAACCACACTGAGCTCAGTTATGGCACACACAGCAGGACCCAGACAAAGGGAGAGGGTGACCAGCATCCCAACTAGGTAAACACAGAGGAGGTTCCACATGGACTTCTCTGGGGTGGCTGCTTTGAAAATGAGAAACAGTCAAGAGTCCGTGGCCTTGCAGACCCGTCTCCCAATGCACCCAGCAGGTGCAAGGACGTTTTGATGAACTAGCTCTCTGCAGCCTCCTTGAAGGATGTGATCCTTGCGGAGGGGTAGGAGTTTTCAGGTCCTTGACATCTCCCAAGTGTGTGATTCAAGGATGACAAAGGCCTTTGGCCAGGTAATGCAGTGTTCACAGGCTGGGCTTGACATGCGTCCCCACCCTCTGAGAAAAAGATCCTCGGGTAATCCATGTGCTTCTCTTGTCCTTCATTCCACCGGAGTCTGTCTCATACCCAACCAGATTTCAGTGGAGTGAAGTTCAGGAGGCATGGAGCTGACGACGATGAGGCCCCTGCAGCCACAGCAGCAACAAGGGTAACTCTGACTTAGGAACCGAGACAGCCAGAGAGAAATGTGATCAATGAAAGAGACATCTGGACTGCACATACTTCTGCAGAGGGGACTGGTGACAGGCAGATTGGAAAAAGCACCACAGATGGGAACCACTTAATCTTTCTTTTCTAAAATTGATGCTATGAAAATTTGCGTTTTCTGTAACTTATGAAACTTAAAGGTTGTCTGTCTACTGAAAAGCCTGTCTGCCTCTATGGTTTATACTGTGGGATGCCAACTCCAGGCCTTCTAAGCCACCTCCCCTTTAGGCTAAAACTGAGACATGAGCTTGAAGAATTGACACTGGCTTTCTCTCTCTTTGGGGTCCCCAGGCAGGTGGCTGGGACACTATTAGCAATCAGCAAAGAACCCTGCTGCCCTTAGACTTCCCGCAGAGCAAGCAGAACTGCAGAATGGGGTAAAAAAAACCTCTATTAAGGTTTTAAAAATCCATTTATATTGTAATAAGGTAAATGTAAATAAGATTTAAGTGAAGGCAGATTGCAGAGATTTCCGATACTATACAAGACATATCTCATAGTATAGGTGTAAATTCTGCAAAGGTTAATGCAGTTAAACATATTTGACACATAAAAATGTCAGATCCAACATTAATCATTCACCAATTGTAATTGCCTTTCTGTGGGTCTCTTCTCCCCAAGACACATGCTTAAAACACCAGGCTCAGTAGAAATCCGGGAGGAAAAAAACAAATAATACTTCTCAGTTGTCAGGGTCTATGATTGCTTTGATAGATTTAGCACTGATTTCATTCTCTTTGCAGTTCCGTGTGATTGGGGTGTGTGTGTGTGTGTGTCCATGTGTCTCCTTTAAGGAAGAAGGTATAGAACAAGAGAACGTTCTTAAGTCCGAAGGAAGTCCAACCCAGTTATAAAGGGAACGCCACTCACAAGCCATTTTTATAATTGTCCCCTTCCTCAGATAAAGGAGTCTCCTTTAAGGAGCCAGTCTGGCTAAATAAACCGAACAAAGCCTGGCCCTGACTTGTCCTGAGAAAAACCGGTTTTCTCCTCCAGAATGTGCCCCAGGCAGCAAAATGCATCAGCTTTCCATGGCTGAGTGGTGTTTTTCTTAGGAGCTCACTCTAAAGGAGATTCCAGCTTTGCAGGTGGATACCTGTCACTTGAATAGCCAAGCCCTGTCCCCCAGCAAGTGACCTCTGAGGGACATGGGTCTCTTCACCTTCCCCCAACTCTTCCCTGGTTTTTTTACCCCTCAGGGTCCCAGATTGCCAGCAGGAACTAAAAGGAATAAACCTTTCCCTAAAATATTTTTCTGTGTCAAGTTAATACAGATTTAAAACCTGGTTTCTGTCACCCTCACCTTTTCATTCTGAGGCCCACAGGCAACGAAAGGGTGACGAAAGGGTGAAGAAGCCAAGCCATGGCATTTTTAAAGAAGATGTTTACTCATAAACATTACGTAGTAAATCCAATTGTGGGGTGCTGGTTGTCCAGCAAACTCCTAGTTAACCGGCAAACATCTCCCATTCAAGGTTCTGAAACAGGTCCCAAGATCAGAACAAAAAGCACAAGCCAGACACGGTGTGTCGTTTCTATTTGCGGCTCAGTTTGAGTCCTATGACCTGGAATCTTTTTAAAGGAAATAAATGCTTGTGTATTTATGTGCCACCTGGCCCAGGTAGAGGCAGGAAACAAAACGGCCAGCGATGGGGACCAGAGGGTAGACTGTCAAACACTAGCCAGGGTACAATGCTGTGACTACAAAAGGTTCTACCTGATGTGCTTCTGGGTCCCCCTACACCCCAAGTCTCATGCAAATGCTATCTTCACAAGAAAGGCGCAGGGCTCTGTATTTCTGGCACTGAGGTCTGAACTGCCCACCTCCTCCCACCAGTGCAGCACAGATTGCTTAGTCCCTCTTGCAGGAAAAGAAAGCCCAAGCCTGGCCCAGAGCAGCTTGCCAGGGAAGCCAGTGTGTGCCGAGAGCTGGCACGAGCTGCTCAACCATCTCCTGTGTCCAACTCCCATTCTTTAATGCCTCCTGTCTTCATTGCAAAGCATGGCTTGCCAGAAATGCAACGCAGAGAAAATGGTTTCATCAAAATTCCCTTGCCACAACAACAACAACAAAATAATATTACCCTGCTTTCATTATTCACAATCTTTTATTGAGGCAAAAGGCAAATATCATTGAGCCAAACCTGAACAGACAAATATATACAACCACTGGTAATTTAGTATTTTGTGCTAATGGTATACACTGTAGCTAAAACCCAAGAGGAGTAAATTACAATCCTATCAATAATACATCACATCCGGGCTCCAGTTGCCCAGTACACAAGAAAATGTGTATTGGCAAAGGCTCTCCAAATATTAAAAGCCATGCATATCATGGGGCAGTGGGTACAGAAGTTAGAAACTCCCACAGGACTGTGTTCTGGCCTTTGTTATCAAGGTTCTTTAGTACAGAAAGAGCCCACACTGAAGCTCCCAAAACTGATGCTAAATGCACACATCCCATTCACATTCTCAGCAGATCTCTAGGTGAAGTTTTGATCACAGAATAACCTATAATCAGGGCACGAGTTTGCAGACCGCTTGGAGCACTGCCCCGATTTGGACACCTCAGGTCTATGGTAGATGCCCAGGTTCTGCTGGGGTGACCTGTGATGACGGACAAGGGACTCCAGAGAGCCCCAGGACAGCCGGCAATTTCTGAGAGACCATGTGACTTCAGAGCAGCCTCTCAAACATGTGTGTGATCCTCCAAAAGAAAAAAGGGAAGGAAAAAGCAGACATGAAAGGCAAGGAGCCAATGGCCTGCAAAGAAAGAGAGATTTACTTTGAAATTTAAAATGCTCCAGTGACTAAATTTTTGTCAGTGGATCCAAATTCCCTTACTCCTCCCTGCAAGAGAAGCAAATGCCGGTCTTACTTAAGAGCAGAGAGGAAATATTTCTACCACAGTAACACTAGTAATGTGCACCAATAAGGTTAATGTAGGCAAGAGGGCTACTTTGCACCACAGTCACACACTGGTACTCCCTGGATTCAGGGGTATTTGAGGAAATCTACAGGGCAGAAGGGACAGTCTCTTTCTTGTCTCTTTTTCAATCAGCCCCTAGAAGAAAAAGGAGATGCCGAGGAGGAGAGGGAGGCTGTCAGGGTCTCTCAGGCAAAGGGAACGGGAAGCAGACAGCAGCCCCAACCTCAAGCTCAGAGATGAAAAGCCCTGGCCAGACACCAGTTCATTAGTGGAAAGAAAAGCTTCCTAAATTGCAGGGAACTGGCCAGGCTTTCTGGAGAGACACCTATGCATCAAAGAAAAACAATGTGAAAATTTCTCTTTGTCTGGAGACAAGAAGCAGCATCTGGGAGTCTTGTCACAGCCTCCCTCCCTCCTTCCCTCAGTCTCTCCACCAGCCACCTTCAAATCCTCGGGCCCCTTTGGAGGGGTGAAGATGGCCATTTTTCCTGCTGCCTGTCAGATAGCAGGGACCGGTGGGACACCTGGTGGGGAGGGGGGGAATTACAGCCACGTTGGACCTCAACATCACTACCCCGGCCTAAGGAAACGTGTATTCTCAGAGCGTGGGAAACAACAAGCATCTTTCTAGGGGATGTAATATTGAAGTGGACCTTAAATGTAGTAGCAATTGACTTAAATTTCTGCTATTTTCAATTGTGTTTTGGAAGAGATGGGTGGCTCAGCATAAATATAAATAGCATCCATAGATAAACAAATATATACTATAATGTTTAATGCAACTCCCACATTATTTAAACTTAAAGTCGCATTGAAAATGGATACTATCCCAGTGGACTCACCAAGCCAAACAGCTGGAATAAGTTCCCCGAAGATAATCCACAGATGAGATTCACCAGATAGTGGAACATTAACAATGTGGACAAGGGACTCCAGAGAGCCCCAGTACAGCTGGCAATATCTGAGACACCATATAGGTTCAGAGCAGCCTCCCCAGCTTGCTGAAGGCAAATACTGAGGAATTTCTTATTTGCATCCAAGAGGTTGCCAAGAGCAGCCCAAAGCTTCTGAGTCAGCGTGTGAAGTGGTTAAGAGGGGTCAAATTAGATCTGGTGCCAATTTGATATGGCTGTGGGACTTTGGGCCAGCCACTTAACCTCTCTAAGACCCAATTTCCTTATCTGTCAAATAGAAATAATGATAATAATGGCAAGTGCTTACTAAGAGCCAGATACTGCATGCTTTGTGTATATTAAATCATTGAATGTCCCCAGCCATTTTAAGGTATGACTGATATTTCTGTTTAAGGATGAGAGGGAAAGGGATCAGCCAAGGTCACACAGCGTGTGAGTGGCAGAGCTAAGATCCAACCTGAGCTTCCTGATTCTGGAGTTCACACTTGGCGCTCCTATTCGGTCCTCTCTCTTATTAATGTTAGTGTGAGAATTAGATAATGCATGCAAAGGTGCCAGCAAGTGCCTAGCCCTAGTAAATTTCATGCACTCAAAAATATTATGGATGATGGTTATCTCAGTATCAAGTAAAAGTATCTTCGAGAAGTTTGCCTAGTGCCCACTCAGATGGAATAAGTAGCCATATGCACACCTTTGGCTGCCAGAAATTCAGCATTAAACTTACTGTGCAATTTAGTAACACCTTTAGGTCAACCTTAGCTTTTATCACAATTATCTCCTCCTCCCATCACCTTCCTTTTAGGAGAGTTCTCACTGTTTTTTTTTTTTTTAATATATATATTTAGTATATATATCATACTGTAGGAGCCTTAAGAGTTTTCTTTTTCAACATCATCATGATATCAATGAGAAAGATATGACGATTTTTCCAGGATAAATGCCATTTCAAATTTTTATTTTTCTGAACTCAGGTGAAAGGTACTGGTGAGAAAGAAACTGGTGAAGATCTAATAAAGAAAAAAGAGTTGGTTTTTGTTTGTTTTTTTGTTTCTTGTTTTGAGATGGTCTCACCTGCCGCCCAGGCTGGAGTGCAGTGGTGCGATCTTGGCTCAGAGCAACCTCCACCTCCCGGGTTCAAGCGATTCTCCTGCCTCAGCCTCTCAAGTAGCTGTGACTACAGGCGTGCACCACCACACCTGGCTAATTTTTGTATTTTTAATAGAAACAAGGTTTCACCATGTTGGCCAGGCTGGACTTGGACTTCTGACCTCAGGTGATCTGCCTGCCACGGCCTCCCAAAGTACTGGGAATACACG